AGTAAAAATCATTGGCAATATATTTCTATAGTAAAATTAACTGGCAATGCATTCCTATAATAAAAATCATTAGCAATGCATTCCTGTAGTAAAAATCGTTTCCAATGTATTCCTATAATAAAAATTATTTCCAATGAATTCCTATAGTAAAAGTCATTTCAAATGCATCCCTATAGTAAAAATCATTGGCAATGCATTCCTAGACTAAAAATCATTTCTAATGCATTCCTATAGTAAAAATTATTTCAATGCGTTCCTATAGTAAACATTATTAGCAATGCATTCCTATAGTAAAAATCATTGGCAATGCATTCCTATAGTAAAAATTATTTCAATGCATTCTTATAGTAAAAATCATTTGCAATGCATTCCTATCGTAAAAATCATTGGCAATGCATTCCTATAGTAAAAATTATTGGCACTAAATTTCTATAGTAAAAATTATTGGCACTAAATTTCTAAAGAAAAATCATTTCCAATGCATTCCTATAGTAAACATTATTTCAATGCATTCCTATAGTAAAAATCGTTTCCAATGTATTCCTATAATAAAAATTATTTCCAATGAATTCCTATAGTAAAAGTCATTTCAAATGTATCCCTATAGTAAAAATCATTAGCAATGCATTCCTATAGTAAAATCATTGGTAATGCATTCCAATAGTAAAAATCATTGGCAATGCATTTTTTTCTTTCACCCAAAGCAAGACAATAACACAACTGAGAAGCAAGGTTTTTACTGAGTGTGAAAGAATATGAGTAAAAGAAAATCAATAAAAGAAACGGAATTAAGAAGACAGAAGATAACTATTGATATTGCCTTTCAATTTTTTTCGAGATCAAAGTTGACTAGGAAACCAGAAACTGTGTTCCACATGCGAGAAGTACAACACAAGAAACAGTTTATAACACATAACGCTAGGTTACCCACATTTATTGGTGTCTTGAAACCGAATATATATATCGACAGCAGGCAATGTAATTTTTGTAAATCTTTATACAAATTCTTTCGCCCGAATCTGACACCATTATAAATCTACCATTCATATGTACGTTGAATATTATTGCCTCATCTGGTCTAGTGCTTCTGTTATGTATCTAGAGATTCTTGTCAAAATCCAAAGAAGAATCTGCAATGTTATCAGTCCTGACCTGGCACTTTGGTTTCAGTCACGTTACAACAATCGTAATATCAATTCTCTCTGCCTTTTCCATAAACTAGATTTTTTTTTGCAACACCTTGACGCCTGTTGAAATCTTCGAAGTATTGTTGAAGTTATCGCTAACATTTTTGTCGAGATTTACAAGCCCAATTTCATAAATCAATCGATGAAATATAAAAGGAGTGCCAGAGAAAAGCGATAATAACAACAAAAAATTGTAATATGAGATCTGGTAAAAACATGAAATGATAACAGCAAAAAATTTCAATATGAGCACTGGTAAAAATGATACTGAAGACATTAGGTTTATAATACTCAGAAATTCATACACAGATGCCCTCAAGGACACATGGCTCAGTGGTTAAAGGCGTTAGTTAGATCAAGTGACAGGACTCAAATAGTGTGAGTTCAATACCGAGTTAAGGCTCAGAGAGGGGATTTAACAGGAGATAACAGATAACTGATAACTAACATCCATTAACTAGAACAGTGAGCGAAATAAAGGGTTTAGTTCGACTTTCCAACCACCTGAAGAAGGCTAGAGCATACAACTATTGTAATAATTATGATGACAATAGTGTAAAAATTGTGTACATAATACCTCATCTCAGAAATATAGACAGATATTGAAGGATCGGATAAATATGGCAACAAAGATGAGGACAATAGTCCGAATAATGTAAATAGTGTATATAATATCTCATCTCAGAAATATAGACAGATACTGAAAGGCCGAAACGTTGTGATAAATATGGCAACAAAGATGAGGACAATAGTCCGAATAATGTAAATAGTGTACATAATACCTCATCTCAGAAATATAGACGGATACTGAAAGGTCGAAACGTTGTAATAAATATGGCGACAAAGATGAGGACAATAGTCCGAATAATGTAAATAGTGTACATAATACCTCATCTCTGAAATATAGACAGATACTGAAAGGCCGAAACGTTGTAATAAATATGGCGACAAAGATGAGGACAATAGTCCGAATAATGTAAATAGTGTACATAATACCTCATCTCAGAAATATAGACAGATACTGAAAGGCCGAAACTTTGTAATAAATATGGTGACAAAGATGAGGACAATAGTCCGAATAATGTAAATAGTGTACATAATACCTCATCTCAAAAATATAGAAAGATACTGAAATATAAAAGCTTAAAGAAAAGATATACAAAAAACAATATTACGTTTTCATTAAATAAGTTATTTTAATCAGTAAACTGTTTTTAAAATGTTTTGTATGTTAAATAATAAAACTTTTAATTTAAAAATTAATTAAGATTTATTGTACTATGCCACGAACCCTGGTAAAACAAACTGTACTC